CTCTCTCCTCCACTACCCCCTCCAACCCGGTGTGACAGCAGGATCTCCTTGGGGTGTGTTGTCACCCATATCGACCAGTGGAAAACCAAGGTGGCCCTTCCTTCTTGCTGTCTCTGGGGAGTCACACACACACAAACACACAAGTTCCAGTAATTTCCTTAGGGAAAGCAGAGTCCTTATGCTACACAATGTTAGACTCTTTTATGCGACCGCTGCAGTACAGCATGACAACGTGGAAATGGAATTTTTAACAAAGCTCACTTAGGGCTTCTGGTAGAGATCCAAATCCTTGAGATTATGGTACTTCATTATATCACATTGTGCCGTGGGTTTTTTTTTTTTTTCTAGTTGACAGATTGGATTTTTTTAAAAAATAAAAAATCATGGCAGTTGGATTTACAATATTATTTAGGATCAGGGAAAGGAGGATCAGGGAGAAAAATAATTTCCTCTTGTTACAAATGTCCTTAATTGAATTTGAAAGAATGTGTTTGGGAGAGCGAGCTCCATGCCAGACAGGAGGTGGTGAAGCCGGGCAGACACTTCACGATCGAACTCAAACAGATCCAAGATGCTTTGCGACCCAGGGAAAGGGAGCTGCTGGGGCTCTTCTGCAGGGTAGTGGATGTGTCTCATTATCAAGGCCGCGGGGCCCAGGTATTTGGTTAAACTCCATTCCGGGTCATTCCGTGACTGCGTGTTTTGGATGAGGTTTACGTTTAAACGGCGGGCTTTGACTGTGGGGGACTGCCCCGCATACAGGGCTGGGCCTCGTCGGATGCAAGGCTGATGGTCCAAAGTAAGAGGAAATTCTGCCATGGATGCACTCTGCCCACACGGCTGCCCATCTCTCTCTGCATCTCCAGCTCCCCCACTGCAGATCGTGACCTCAGGCCTCCACAAGCTCGGGAGACGATTCCTCTTTCCATTTTTGTTTGGTAGCATTAGGGTTGAAGGCAGGCACTCTACCACTTGAGCCACACCCCCATCTTTTTTCTTTTTGGTCACTGGTCATGGGGCTTGAACTCTGGGCCTGGGCGCTGTCCCTCAGCTCTTCAGCTCAAGGCAAGTGCTTTACCACTTGAGCTACTTCTAGTTTTCTGGTAGTTTACAGAGATAAAGAGTTTCACAGTTTTTTTCTGCCCAGGCTGGCTTTGAACTGTGATCCTCATATCTCAGCCTCCTGAGTAGCTAGGATGACAGGCGTGAGCCACCTGCACCCAGATCTCCATCTTCTTCTTCTTTTTTTTTGCTTTAGTTATTATTATTATTTGGATAAGGTTTCAAGAATGGCCTTGGATTTTCCTACCCACTCCTCCCTCATAGCTGGGATTGCAGGCATAAGCCGGAGTACCTGGCAGAGGGCACAACTTTGGATGCAGGAATGCACTCTGAGAAGCGTGATGTTGGCTGATCTTGTTACCTGCAGACATCAGAACACACTCAATACAAACAGAAGGGCCATACTGTTCTCGAGTCTTAGTCATACCGCTCTCCTGCTGTTTGCAGCCTGCTGTGCCCCAGGACCTTGCACCATGGCTCACGACTGTGTGTGTTCAAGTCCTGCTGTTCCCGAAGTGCCAGGATGCTGGCTAACACATCTGCTCTGCTCGGAGTTTCATGGCCCGGCCCCTGCTCCTCTCCCGCGAGCTGCATGAAATGCCTGGGTCTGGGGTTTCTGCTTTGTTTGGTCCTGCAGAGGCCAGCAGGGTGCCAAGTTGGGAGGGGGGGGAGTCTACTTTTCAGTCGTGTAAAAAGCCGCATTTAAGTAGCACAGCAGCCGTGCAGGCAAGAGACAGATGTTTGGGAAATCATGAGTGACAGCCCTGCTGGGCTGGATGGTATCTACTCACACTGGCTCTGAGCTGCCCGCGGGGGCTCCCCTCCCTCACCCCTGTGCACGCTGGGAGTCACCCGGCCCCCGTGGAGGCTGGAGGACGGTCTGCGGGTGTGGAGGCTGGAGGACGGTCTGCGGGCGGGGTTGTTCAATCATGGCCGTGTCCATGCCATTTGCCGAGCTTGAGACAGTGGACTGACTTGATGGCACCCTACTCTCAGCTCAAGGCCGGTTCCCATCTCTGGGTCCGCAGCCACCTCTTGGTGTTGGCTGTGACTAGACAGAGCCGCATAGCATCTCTGACGTGCTCCAGGAAAACCGGTGGTAGTCCGTAGGGCCACACGGGACCCCACGCTCCTGTGCTCCCACCAGCACCAGGTGAAGGCTCTGATGATCACTACCACCACCACCTGGCTTTTTTATTCTAGCCAGCTTGGTGAAGTGGTATTACACCGTGGTTTTAACTAAAAAGAGCATCTTTCTCATTGGCTGCTGATGTCTCCTATTTGGAGAAATGTTTGCTGACAGTGACTTTTTTGTTTTGTCTGGTGCCGGTCCTGATACGTGAACTCAGGGCCTGCGTGCTGTCCCTGAGCTTTTTTGTTCAAGGCCAAAGCTCCACTTCCGTGGACTTTTCTTCCCCAGGCTGGTTTTGAACTGAGACCCTCAGATCTCAGCCTCCTGAGTAGCTAGGATTACAGGCGTGAGCCTGCGGTGCCAGCACTGACAGTGAAGTTTGGACACTGAAGTTGACTTTCCCCATCCATCTGTGAACAGGTCAACAGAAAACAAGCAGAAACACTACAACTCGCAGCCAAGGACACGGGTGGCTGAGTGTCACGAGCCGCTGGGTCCAGGGGCAGGCGGCCTCCATGTCTGGTACTCATCTTTCCCGGTCTCCTCTCGGTCGTCCTTTTCTGCCTTCCGGGCCCAGTGATGGTGCAAACTCATAGCACATGTCTGAAAAGCGACTTACATGAACAGCCAAGCACTTGGCGTAGGCTGGGAGCCAGGTCTTGGCTTTCCAGTGCACGGTGGGTTTTTGGGTCGAAGGAACAGTATTCCTGCCAAAATGAGCGCTCAAGTCCTGACCCGCAGGACTGTGGCTGGGCCATATTTGCAAACAAGGTGTGTGCGGACCATTCGCAAGGATGGGGTCATGCCAGAGCAGGGTGGTTATGAGCTGGGCCTGTGGAAGAGGGGTGGCCGACACAGATACTCACAGGAGACAGCCACACAGTCGAGAGCGGGGTTTGCTGCTACCAGCCAAAGAACGGCAATGCTGGTGACAGTCCGACAGGCTGGAGCAGGTTCGTTTCCTCCCGCAGGGGCCCCAGAGTGGCGGGCCCTGCCTACCCTGCCACGTCAATCTTCTGCTCCCCAACTGACAGAGCATTTTGAGGTACTGGGGTCTGAACTCAGGACCTTGGCACTTATTAGGTAGGTGTTCTACCGCTCGAGTCACACCTCCAGTCTAGCCCTCTTGCTGTTTTGAGCCAGTCTGTGTGGCCCTTGTTATGAAGACACCAGTGTGGACAAGCAGGTGTCCACGAAGACATGAAAAGCCTTGTTTGTGCGGCCTTTCCACTGCCATCACTGGTCACAGTGCGGAGCCCTGTGATACAAAATGAGCAAGAACATCAACGTGTCTTCGTGTGGTGTGGGAGACAGGATGGATGCATGACGGTAAATGGCAGCCTCCATGGGACGGGAGGGCTTTGGGGGAATGCAGATTCCCAGGCCTGTCCTGACCTAGGTTAACAGCTGTGATTATTTCCTTGTTTTCCTCCTAGGGTCTAGACCTTCTGATACAAGCAAATGTCTTGCATGTCAAAAGCTGTGGGCTTACCGCAAATAATTCTCTTTTAAATCTGTTCCCCCAGGGCCGACCTGGCAGTGGACCAGCTGCCAGCCCAAGTAATAACGCTTCAATCGCTGTATTAAGCTTTCTGTGCGCTGACAAGTTCGGTAGATGATTATACCCGAGGTGCCAGGTGTCCAGCTGTTCACCTTTGTGTGTGGGAAGTGAGCTTTGGAAATATCCATCGCCTACGCATGTTTGTCTTTCCGAAACCGTTTGGTATCGGGAGTAAGATGTGAGACATGAGAACAACAAACCAAGAGGAGCCACGCGGGGGTTTTTAATCATCGTTATCACCCTTGAGATCAGTAATGGGGAAACTCATTCGGGAGAGCACCGGGGAGCCAGGCGGCGACGCACATGGGGCATGCGCCCCTGGACATGGGGGAGGGGCCCCTGCCACAGAGCTCAGAGGGCCTGTGGATGCTTCTGGATGTTACGATGGGCCGGGGGCCGCCCGGGTGCGCCTGCTCTGAGGTCAGGTGGAGGAGGCCGCTCACCTGATGAGCTCCTGCGGCCACTGGCCGGCCTGGGCTCCCCAAAGCCACCCCGGTCTGGCCGGCTCACTTGGGGTAAGGCACACACAGGGCACGGGCAACACGCCTGCTTCCTGTAAACCCACCGGGAAGCACACACTGCCCAGGAAACACGGGGGCCGCCGGGCACGCCCTCTCCACCAGCAGCACTCTGGAAGCTTCCACGGCCAAGGGGCAAGGGGCAGGGGCTGTGCGGGGCAGCCTGGGGTGGGCAGTGGCTCAGGACCTGGAGAAGGCCATGTGCTCTGAAGGTTGGGACAGAGTGAGCCGGGGCTCTGGCCGCGCCCTCCCTCCCGAGGAATGGGGGTCTCAGGGCCCTGGGGACGGACAGCGGGGGGGTCTTTGACACCTTGTCACACATTCAACTCTCCAGTATGTCCCTGAACTCTCTCTTCTATCCTGGACACCTGCTAAGCGCCAAAGCAGCTCTTTTGTGAGTCTGGGGTACACAGCCCACCCCCTGCTGTCCCAGGGAGCCTGTCTGAACTAGAGCAGGCTGGATGGCCTTTGGAAGACGTGCGGAGGTTTCGGAATGACTCCTGGAATGAAAGCGGCTCAGGCTGCCTGCGGGGTCGCCCCACACCGGGCCCATCCCAACTCTGCCTCATGCAAAAGCCACCACCTTGCCAACTCCTCCTCCCTCGCTCTGCCGCACGGGTAAAGTCTCCTGCTAACAAGCAGACGGGTGCGCGCCCTAACCTCAATCACATCTCCAAACTTGTGCCCTCTCGCGTTTAGGGAGGCAGGGAGGCGGCTCCCACGCCGCGCAGATGTCCTCTTCGTGGGCACGGTGCCCCTCCCACCTCGCCAGGCACATCGCCCACCGCGTTGGCGCTCTGAGCGCCTTCTCATTTTGATTGTGGACACTGAAGAGCATGTGGGGAGCTCTGCGCTCGGTTTCCCCGCCACACAGGATTAAGCAGGCCGCTGGGGTTTGTCGGGGAGCTGCGCTGGGTGGGTGGGGGCCAGGGCGCGGGTCTGGGCGCGGGTCGGGGCGCAGGGTCACTTGCGTGGCTGCTGGATGTTCTGGGTCCTCGGGGAGGCGTGCTTGTCCATGGAGGCGTGGGGTTTCTGGTGAGCCACCTGGGCGGCCGCCGGCGGAAAGTCCTTGTCGCCCTGTCAGGAGCCCGGGAGACGCGGCTGATCAGTAAATGGGTTCGAGCCGCCCACAGGGGAGGGGGGCCTAGGGGCTGATGGAGCACAGGTCCACGGGGAGAAACTGTCTTCCCGGGGCTCAAAAGGGCCCAGGCCATTTAGAAACGAGGACACTGAGGGACGGGGAGGAGGCCCCGAGACACAGAAACTCTTCCGCTCAGCGGTGGGCTGGGGAAGAGTGAATGGCTGTGCCGCGGAACCACTCGGGGACGCCACTTTCATCCTCATGTGTCACAGCATGCCCTCCCTCCCACCCTCCTTCCTAGTCTCCTACTAGAACAATCCTAGAACAACACTCAGGGTGTTGTCCCTGAGCGTTAGTGCTTAAGGCAAGTGCTTTACCACGTGGGCCACAGCTCCACTTCTGGCTTTTTGGTGGTTAATTAGAGATAAGAGTCTCATAGACTTTCCTGCCCAGGCTGGCTTTGAACCTCCATCGGATCTCAGCCTTCTGAGGAGCTAGGATGACAGGTGTGAGCCCCCGACACCCAGCACAACATTTACTTTCTATATTCATTTCTTCAATCATTTTAAAAGGAGAAAAATGTACCCAACTCAGGCACCTTAACACCACCTGGTAGTTTGGGGAGTCCTGGCTGAGTCTCCAGGGAAGGGCAAAGGCTGGCGGCCAGGGGCTTTAGCTGGGAACTCCACCCAGTTCCAACTGCAGGTGCATGCTCCGTGAACTGTGACAACGGGAGACCTGGTCCCCAGACAGGAGCTCCAGGGCTGCAGAGCCTGGGCAGAGCTGGGGGACAGGAGGGCGGGGCCCGCCCCGGGGCAGGGCGGATGCAGTGGGCAGCAGGCACTTACCCGGGCAATAACACCAGAGATGAACACGGTCGGCTTAGGAGGGCTGGAAAAACAAGGGAAGGCGTGGATTTAATCACATAACTCACAACAGGGAACAGCCGTGATGTGGAAGCGGACGTTCATGGTCTAGGGTGCACAATGAACTTTCCACCAACCGAGGAGGAGGCAAGGGACTGGTGAGCAGACCGAAGTCTTCCTCTATCACTTGTCGCAATGACCACGCAATGGGGTCTGGGTCCCTTCCCAGGGGCCCGCAGGCCACCCTGCATTGCTATCTGATGCTGTACTTGGGCTGGTAGACAGCAGAGCACGGAAAGAAGGAAAATCCCTGTGCACCCAGCACAGGTGAGGCTCTTGCTTTAAAATGGTATTGGAAAAAAAAAAAAACAGCCCAATGCCAGCAGCTGACCCCCACAGAGGCCTTCAGGACGTGGTTCAAAGCCAGCCTGGGCAAGAACACAAGTTTGCAAGACTGCACCTCCAATGAACCAGCCAACTGCTGACCTGGGAGGTGTGGTTCAAGTGGTACAACGCCATTCATGAGCAAGGAAGCGGAATGAGAGCGCCAGGTTCTGACATTAAGCCCTGGTCCCAGCCCAGAACAAAAGCAAAACCACCACAAAACCAAACCCCTGCGAGAAGCATGCTTCCCGTGCATTCTTCTGACCCAAAGAAGGGGAGGGGCAGGGCTGCTGTGACGGCTCATCCCCTCCTCTGCCCAGCACTGGCTGCATCTTGGGTCCCCTGCAAGCTTGGCCCAAAGCCCCAAGTTCTACCTTTTCCATCTCCGGTTAACAAGATCTTTCTTCAGCTTGAGAATGGCTGTTGGTCGCATGTGGATATAAAATCCTTTCTGAGGTAGGGAAGCTGCACTAAAGTTCACAAATGAGAAAGCCTGGTAACAAGTCTGGGTGCATCGCTGGGCCTGAAATAAAATCTGCACACAACGCACAACCTCCTCCGAGGACTGACGGAATCCGTGGGAATCTTCCCGGCAGGGGCCGCTTTGAAGATGCTGTGGTTTTTCTCTTAGGGGACAGAGACAGCCCAGGCTGGCACCCCTGCCCTCCTGCGGCTCAGGCCTTCCCACCGTCAGTCAGCGCAGGCTGCAGCTCTGCCACACGGGACCCAGCCGCTGCGCACGCACGCCGCCCCTCCCAGAGATCGCATGCAATGGAACAGCCCTGCCCGTTGGTCTTCCCATTTCCCTGGTGAGGAAGGCCGTGCCCCTAGCATTTCCTGGAAGCCCCATATGGGCAGGCTGGATGTTCACCATGCTCAGCTGCCCTGAGCCCAAAGCTCTCCTTGAACTCCAGCGTGGCCATTACAGAACTCAGTTCCAACCTCGTACACAACCCCGTGGCCCCAACACTGCCATCTTTTCTGTGCTTGGGGATTCCTAATCATTCTCACTGGCAGGGGGCTGGGACGCCATGACTGTATTTCTGGCTACCACATGCCATTCCTGTCCACGGGCCACACCTAAGTGGCCGGGCAGCCGGGGCCTGCGGTACCCCTCACATACCTGCAGCGCCCCTTCCCACGCAGCGCACGATTCTGGGCGTGGGGAGACCCGTGCTCCGCTTGCTCCCCCAAGCTTCTGGCAGGATTGGGTGGGTGGGATGCTGCAGGGACTTTGGGGTGGGGAGAAAGGTAGGCTTGCAGGTCTGCAGGAGATCACGTCACAGCACAGATCCTACCAAAGGTTACAGCAGATCCTGAGCTTTTCCAGAGAGTTCTACTTACAGAATCATTCCCTTTGTGATCTAAGTGCAAGTCCAAGTCATTTTCAAAGAAATTCAATGTCACATATGGTTGAAGGACTAGTGGGAGATGTTTGTGCAGGAGAGGAGATGAACAGCCCTCAACCTGCCGTTTGCTGTTTTCTCCCGATCTAGGACGATACTAGTTACTGTTTGTTGATCACCTACTATGGGTGTGACCCCGAGTTGGAGAATGATTCCATCAAACCTCCATAACAGTAAATCAGAGAGTTAGCATCCTGCCTGAAGGTTGCATAGCAGTGCGGGGAGCCGGACTTGGAACACAGCTTGTCTAGGGCCTGTGATCATGGCCATGAGTACAAGTCCCTCATCTGGGGACCTCACATTTTAAATTCTGTCTTCTGGAAATGATTTAGAGATGCAGAACCTTAAGCTCTCAACGTAATCCTAGAGGTTCTTGTTCAATCAGACAGTACGTTATATTCAAATCTAGCTAAGCATTTGCTTTCTGACTTTACTGACCCACTTTCCTTAGTAGCTTAGCAGGTGTGATTTCTATTGGATGGAGGGAATGCCGGGCTAGAGAGGCTGAGAATGAAACCCTGGAGGCAGGCAGCTGGACAGAGCTTTGGGGCTGGGCTCCTGGTCAGTACTCAGCTCCAGCACCTCAACAGGAGCGCAGGACGGTGAAGGCCTAAACCACCCATTCAGGTCCCAGCAGGAGGACACGAGGAAAGGTGGTGACAGATACCAGTAAATGGAGATACCAGTGTTGCACTTGGTCTGTGTTTGAATCCTGACTCTACCAATGATCTGCAGGTAGGCTGGTACCTGACATTTCTGAGGCTTAGTTTCTCATCTAATATGTAGGTTAGAAAGTATCTCCTTCACGAGGTGACTATATGGGTATGTTCATAGACACACACACACACACAGACTGCTTAGCCCATAGCAAGCTCTTCACAAACACCAGCTATGAAGATGGCAGTAGCAGTAATGATATGCCCCCCTCTTCCCCTCCCTACCCCCAGCCACCTTGAACTCCCACTGCTAACACTCATGACCTTGAGCTCAGCGGGCAGTTACACCCTGAGTGCTCAGGACAGAACTGTGTCCAAAGTCAGCGAAGTCTCCCATCAAAACAGATGTCACAAAACCTGAGCGCTGGACTTGAAGAGGAAGCTCTCTATTTGATCTGCATGCTTGACCGGGCTGCCAACTGTGTGGGCTCCGGGCCCCCGGAGACGTGAGGAAGGAGGGCCTGACCTAATGGCCCAGGATAGCGAGGAGCTGCAGGTGGGCCCCGGCTCCTTACAGGGAGAGCTGGCCATGCTCGGGAGGACAGGAGCGGGAGGGGGTCACCGCTGAGCCACCGGCTCTCTGACCCACTTTCCATTACAGCCCAGGAGACAGGGGCAGGGGCCAGCCCCGCAAGGCCCCATCTGGAAAGGCAGGGGGAGGAGGAGAAGGAGGAGGAGGGGGTGGAAGAGGCTTCCCAGGCCTGTCCATCCTTGGTCAAAAGAAGAGGCGGGGAACTCCCAGCGCTTTCCCCATAGCAGGAGAGAAGCTGTTAGCAAGCAGGGAGGGGCCCGGTTCCTCACTTGGCTGCAGACACCACCTCAGGATACATCCCCGTCTTCCCAGGCCCAGGCAGAGCCGCTGAAGCAGCCACCGCCCTGGGAGATGGGGTTTGTCCAGCTGTGGCACAGAAGAACAGATGCTCTGTGTGTGTGTGTGTGTGTGTGTGTGTGTGTGTGCAGACGTCCCGTCCACTCTGTGCACACAGAGGTGTTCTCTGTGAACAGAATGGAAGACGAGCAGCCGTGCAGAGAAGCGTGGAGGGAGGGGCCGATGGCAAGCTGGAAACAAATTCTCAGACCTTCACGGCATCCATGGGAAGTATATTCCCACCTAGAATGTTTTCGAAACCATTTCTAGTTTAAATAGAGGGAAAACAAACCCTCCCCTGCCCATTTGGAGTTCTTAAACTATCCTTCTGGCCTGGTCTTAGCTATTGGGGCTATTAGTTTTATGGGCACCAAAGCGGTCACAACAGGGCCGGTCAGCAGAGGGGAGCCGGCTGCCCCTCACCCCAGCCCCACCCAGCCTCCCCCGGTGAGCTGCAGGCCAGGCGGCCAGGCCTTCGGCACCTGGGGACACGGCCGCCAGGTGGCACTGCTGGTCCTCTGACGGGGCCGAAGCTGAGGTCCCTGCTCCCAGGTCTCCAGACTGCCGGCTGGGGTCCCGGCTCCCGGGTCTCCAGACTGCCGGTTGGGGTCCCGGCTCCCAGACCCCCAGACTGCCGGCTGGGGTCCCTGCGCCCAGCGCAGCCTGCACCATCCACGTGCCCCGGCGCAGGGCCGGGCCTGCGCGCTGCGGGCGTGTTCGGGGCTCTTCTTCCAGCCGAGCCTCCTCCCCACCCCACCCCCGAAACACCGGTGACCCTTGGAGGAGCGAGCTCTGGGAGCCACCGGCTTTGGTGCGCTCCGCACTCCGCCACGGGCTGGGGGCGCGGCCTTCTGTGCGGATCGCCTGGCTGCCCACGCGGACCCACGCGCCCGGCGCCGTCTCCGTCACGCACGCGGGCCTATGCGCCCGGCGCCGTCTCCGTCACGCACGCGGGCCCACGCGCAAGGTGCCCTGTCCATCGCGCACGCAGGCCATGGGCAAGGCGCCCTGTCCATCGCGCACGCGGGCCCACGCGCAAGGCGCCCTGTCCATCGTGCACGCGGACCCACGCGCAAGGCGCCCTGTCCATCGTGCACGCGGACCCACGCGCAAGGCGCCCTGTCCATCGCGCACGCAGGCCACGTGCAAGGCGCCCTGACGCAGGGCCACGCACGCGGACCCACGCGCCCGGAGACCGCTCCATCACGAGGCCACGCACACGCAGGCCACGCCGCCGGCGCCCTCTCCGTCGCCGGGCACAGGTCAGAGCTCGGGCCAGTGCCGCACCCG